ATCTCTATGCCTCAAAGAACTTGCCAGTGGTAAATAACAGGAGGAAGATAGGAGCCATCTTTAGTCTCTCCTAACCTGGACCACTAAGGAATAAAATTAACATTAATATAATTATTATTGTAGTTGTTAATAACAGCAGCAGCTACCATCTACTGCACACTTTATTATGTTTAGGCACTGTAATAAGCACTTTTCTTTCATTAATCTTCACAGTAACCCATGAGATAAGTATTATTATAAGTATTATAACGGACAAAACTGAGGGTCACGCAAGTTAAAGAAACTTGTAACAAGTTACATGATCATCAGTGGCAAAGCCAGAATTTAAGTCTTGATAGTCTAATTCCAAAACCACAATACTAAAATGCCTCTAAGCATATTATTATTAATAATAAATCTCTTTCATTTAACACTTTTAATTTCTCAAAAGGCTTTCATATACACAGTGTGGTGTTGAAGATAATGACTGTGGGATATAATGAAGAGGCACTGTGATCGATTCAGAGATTAGGTACTGAAGCAGTCTGCTGCAGTGTAATAATAAACACAAGGTCTCCCACGTCCATTGCTATCCATTAAGGTCATAACCAGTACCATACTTGCAGTTAGAACTTAAAAATTACTCACATAAGCACTTTGACTTAGATGTAGATGACAGCCCTCTACATCTCCCACATACTCAGGCTTCTCCTAGCTGCAGCAAGAATGCCAATTACAGAATTATGACACGAGTTCTGGCTTATGCCAACACTCCTCTTTCAGCAAGTTTATTCTTTTTCTATTCTCTAGCTGACAGAGCTACTTTAAAAAAAGAAATCATTTCTGCAAACATTTGAAGCAGCTCATCCCTCTGGCTTTTAGCATAATAGTATTCTGTCAGAATAATCTAGAAATCTGCTTTCCAATGCTTGAATAAAAGTTTCTAAGTTTTTCAGGGTTGTTATGGCATTAGATTAGGCCAAAAATATAAATGTAAATGTAGGCTTTGATTCGTCCAAAATAGCTTTTTTTTGTGTGTGTGAGGAAGACAAGCCCTGAGCTAACATCCATGCCAATCCTCCTCTTTTTGCTGAGGAAGACTGGCCCTGGGCTAACATCTGTGCCTATCTTCCTCTGCTTTATATGGGATGCCGCCACAGCATGGCCTGACAAGCGGTAAGTTGGTGCGTACCCGGGATCCGAACCCAGGCCACCAGCATCGGAGTGCATGCACTTAAGCACTACACCACAGGGCCGGCCCCACAAAATAGCATATTTTGAATACTGCAGTTTCATTATTTTACATTTATTTATGGGCCTTTAAAAATGTTAATATGATTTAGAGCACTAATAAGGTTCATTGCATAATTAATTTTGGCAGCTTTCTTCATAAGATCAACACACAATAAAATGTCACAGTAAGCCTCTGTTTCAGTGGTTCTCAATCTTTTTGGTCTCAAGAACCCTTTATGTTAAAAAATTATTGAGGGAGCCGGCCCAGTGGCATAGTGGTTAAGTTCACGCACTCTGCTTTGATGGCCCCGGGGTTCGCAGGTTTGAATCTTGGGTATGGACCTATGCACCGCCCATCAAGCCATGCTGTGGCAGCATCCCACATACAAAATAGAGGAAGATGGGCACAGATATTAGCTTGGGGCCAATCTTCCTCAGCAAAAAGAGGAAGATTGGCAACAGATGTTAGCTAAGGGCCAATCTTCCTCACACACAAAAATTTATTGAGGACCCCAAAGAGTTTTTGATTATGTGGTTTATAGCTATTGATATTTACCACATTAGAAATTAAAACTGAGATATTTTAAATTATTTATTAATTCATTTAAAAATAAATCCATTATGTGTTAACATAGATAACATGTTTTAAGAAAAATAACTGTATTTTCCAAAATAAAAAATTAGTAAGAGGATGGTATTATCCTACATTTTTGCAAATTTCTTTAATATATGGCTTCATAGAAGACATCTGGCTTCTCTCTCTTATTTGCTTCTGCATTCAATTTGTTATGATATGTTCTTTTAAAAGGTTTAAATATTTGAAGAAAATCCAGCCTCACACACATATGTAATTAGAAAAAGAAGGAATCTTTTAATAGCCTTTTCAAGTAATTGTGGATATTCTTCTTTGATACTACACCAAAACTCAACAAGTAGTAGTTTCTAAAAGTTTAATTGCAACGTGAAATCTGAAAGTATATCAATGAACTTTTCATACTCTGTTCCATTAAAATCCCTTAGTCTATCTTGCACTTTGACTAGATCTTTTACCCATGCTATTTTGTAACATCATGCATTGTTCATTTGAAAAATATTGAGTCACTGAATTATGCAGATCTTCCAAATGTTAACACATTTCATTGTATAATATCAAAATATTACATTTATGAATATGAGCTCATTAGAAAATCTTTAAGTATTGGGAAGCTGTCAAGTTCACAATGGCACGTACAATTGTTCCAAAATTCCTGTATTTGTTTGAAAGCCCAGATTTTATCATTGGCAACAAATTTGGTCCGTTGTTTTCCTTGAAGTGATAGGCTCACTTTGTTCATTTTTGAGAAAATGTCTGCCATATACTCCTGTCTCAATATCCATAGTTTGTCTGTCAGTCGTTCTTGCAAGTAAAAATGGTGCTCCTTGACCAAAACAGTGGCAAGTTCAGCTCACAATTCAAACAGTTGCAGAAATTCTTTTCCACAAGACAACCATCATGATTTGGTATACAGCAGAAGTGTTTATGTGTCCTTATTTCATCACCCAGAATATCAAGAACACAGATATTCAGGGGCCGACATTTAATAAAATAATTTTTTCTCCTTCATCAAGAACACTCAAGTGAAACTGGCCTTTATTTCTTCTTTCTTTCTTTCCCTCTCTCTCTCTTTCTCCCTCCCTCCTTCATTCTTCTTCTCCCTCCTTCCTTCTTTCCTTTTCTTCTTTCTTTCCTTCCTTCCTTCTTTATTTGCTGCTTTCTTTCTCCCTCCCTCCCCTCCTCCCTTCCCCCCTCTTTCTCTCTGCAAGTGCCTGGCAGTGAAGATTACAATGACCAGGAGTATTATAGTTTGGCGCCACTGCTTAATTTGAGCTAAGGGACTAACAGGTTTACCTACCACTGCTTTTGCACCACCAGTGTGATATCAACATGGAAAAAAAATGGCATATCACATCTAAAAATTTTTGAAAATAGTTTTAACCTTGCAACACCTCATAAAGGGTCTCAGGAACCATTGCTCTATTTACTGCTTGGTTCAAAAGTATTTTGCTTAAGAAATCACATGCTAACTCATTTTTTGTTATTTCATCAGAATAAGTCATTTCTAAAATCTTTTCTAATAGCTGGAATCTTTTCTTTAAAAAGTCACTTTTTTGATCTATAAGAATATTGTTGTAAGCATCTGACTCTGCTTCCATTGTCACATCTTTCTCTGACCCTCTCTTCTACCTCTTTTATCCACTTTTAAGAACCCTTGTGATTACCTTGGGCCCACCTGCTACCTTTTCTTTCTTTCTTTTTTAATTTTTTTATTTGTTTTTTTTGTGTGTGTGAGGAAGATCAGCCCTGAGCTAACATCCATGCCAATCCTCCTCTTTTTGCTGAGGAAGACTGGCCCTGGGCTAACATCTGTGCCTATCTTCCTCCACTTTATACGGGACGCTGCCCAGCATGGCCTGACGAGCGGTGCATCGGTGCGCACTCAGTATCTCAACCCGGGCCGCCAGCAGCGGAGTGCGCGCACTTAACTGCTAGGACACATGGCTGGCCCCCTACCTTTTCTTTTTTTAAACTATGAAAATTTTATTATTTTTTTCATTTTATTGTGATATAATTGACATATAACATTGTATTAGTTTACAGTGTACAACACAATGATTTGATAATATGTATATATTGTGAAATGATTACCACAATAAGTTTAGTTAACATCCAACACTTCACATAGTTACTTTTTTTTTTCCTTGTGATGAGAACTTTTAAGATCTACTCTCTTAGCAACTTTCAAATATACAACACAAGTATTGTTAACTATAGTCACCAATACTCTTGCTATTTAAGGTCAGCTGATTAGCAACCTTAATTCCCCTCTGCCATCTAACACGACATATTCACAGGTTGCAAGGATTCCAATCCTAATGTGGACATCTTTTCGGAGGGAGGCATTATTCTGCCTACCACAGCAAGCTCCACCCTTGAGTTACCATCTCAAAGGGAGGCAGACACCATAACCCAAAGGCCACCACTATAAGACCTTCATGTGCTCTGTAATTTCCCTGTGCCTGCTCTTTGTGACTCTCCAAAATGGCTTGTAATAAAATTCTTAAAATGAAAAAGGCCTGGGAGAAGTGATAAATTGAGGATACAGTATTCCAATCCAGAGCTAGACTAGGAACAGATTGAGCCCAAGGGAGTGTGGCATCAGGGGAGAAAAAGGCAGCCTGAGTTCCTGAAGCCTGAGTCTCAGAGAGAGGAACACAGGGTGCAGGTGGGGGTGGCATAGGTGCCCTCACAAAATACAGTGACGTTTAGAACATACAATGTCCTCTAACACAGAACCCTCATCTTCCTGAGTTCCAGTTTCTTTTCTTTTTTTTGTGAGGAAGATCAGCCCTGAGCTAACATCTGATGCTGATCCTCCTCTTTTTGCTGAGGAAGATTGGCCCTGAGCGAACATCCGTGCCCATCTTCCTCTACTTTATATGGGATGCCGCCACAGCATGGTTCTACAAGCAGTGCGTGTGTCGGTGCGCGCCCGGGATCCGAACCCACGAATCCCAGGCCGCCACAGCGTATCGCGCACACCTAACCGCTCAAGCCACCGGGCCAGCCCTGTGTTCCAGTTTCTAGAAAAGAGAAAAACAAAATTCCAACCACACCTCTAGCACAGGGATTGCCATATGTGTATGTTTCTACCACCTCCCTTAGGTTTAAGTCTTTTTTGTGGTTGTAATAGTAATAGGTGCTCAATTAATGTTACCACTGTGTGCCAAGGACAGTAATAGGTAGGGATTTAATTCTTATCTTTACAAGGAAATTGCAGAGTGGCTAACAATATCTCCATTGGACAGATGGGGACACTGAGGTCCAAGGAGTCAAGCCACACAACTGGTGATGGGGTAAAGCTGAGATTGAGATGCTGGTTGCCTTGGGTTTAAAGTCAGTGTCTTTTCATGACATCACACTGCCTCCCCCATGAAATACCTTTGCCTGCTACTTGCTCACATGTTGTTCTCTTATGAGACTACCATATTACTATGTGTTCTTCACCATCATAAATTTTGTGACTGCTCAATATTCCAAGGACTGAAGCCATCATTATCTAATCGATTGTTTTCCCATTGCTGAAATTTTTATGATCATAAATAAAGCTATGGTGAATATAAGAAAAATTGTTTTAATGGAATGATCCACAAGGGAGTGAATACAGAAAAAAAATTATGAAATTAAGATATGCTTTAAGGTGATTTTCATATTGATTAAAATCATTAACTCATCTTAACAAAACAAATATTTGTCCCACAACAATTTAACAACATCCACAAAACTGAATAATTTGAGCTCATGTATGCCTTTAATTCATACCTAGAATTGAATTATTCATCAGATAAGATTCAAACTGAAGCAACATAAACACTCTTGTCCAGGCCTTTAAAAATAAAGGTAAACTGCTCTTCTACTGCTCATATTCATTCTACAGACACAAAATACAATAGTTAATTTTTAAATAAGACATTTTCTTTATTTATGGCTATTTTCAAGCATATATGAGAAAATAAGAGCTGCCAAAAATTAGATCAGATATGATCCAGTCAACTCAGCATTTTATCTAACAAAAATGATGCTAAAGATCAATTCCTAGGAAAACACGCTAGCTGTCCTTGATAGACTAGATCTTAAAATGTTCAACAGGCAGCACAACATACCATCACGCCCCGCCCCCAGCTTTTCTTTTAAATAAAAGCTGCTTATCTTATTGCTCATTCTGAAGAAAATTGCATAATCTGAAGAAAAGAACTGCTTATGGAAGGTGGATGAAACAAAAGTGTTTACCTTGTGTAAGCCCCACTAAAATGACAATAAAGGCATATGCCTCCAGGAATGAATAGAATGGGAGAAAAGATAACAGCAACAAAATTTTGAAAGCCGGATAATCAGTATCTGTTTTAGCAGATGACATCTTATCACACAGATTTCAGGCCTCATCATACATTTTCCTTTTTTTTAGTTAAAAAAATTACATGAATATTTGCTAATTATGAAAAATTCAGTACTCTGGGTATAATCTGGACAGTATACAGTTTTGAACAGTGTTCTTCTCCTACTGTGACTGAAGTCTGCATCTGCTTCTCTTTTGTAAGCCAGATCACATTACTGACTCGTAGTTCAGCTTGTTGTCCTTTACCTAAGAATTGCTCCTAAATCAGATATTCCCTATCCTGAGCCAACTAAACTAAGAGTAGGATTCTATACATTTATCCATTTTAAATGTTACCTGTTTTGTATGGTGCTTTAGGTATCTTGGATACTAATCCTTTCAAATGTAAACACACACACACACACCTAAACACACCCTACACGTGTCTTCTAATCTGTGGCTGTCTTTCCTGTTTATAGTGCTTTTGTGTAGAGAGGCTTTTCATTTTAATGTAGTAAAATTATTTGATCTTTTTCTTTAAAGTTTGTGCTCTTTGTGTTTGGTTTAAGAACATCTTCCTCATCTTGAATTCAAATTTTAAGATTTACTTCTTTTCTTTTTTCATTTAGGTCTCAATTCTTTTTGCCTTAAAATGCATTGTATAGCTTTCTTTCGGTTAGTATTTGCCTGCTGTATCTTTTCCTATACTTTTACTTTGAAACATTATTTTTTTAATAAAAATTTTATACATTACATGTATCTGTTGTAAACAGTATATAGCTCTTTTTGTTTTACAGATTTTTTTTTCTCCCCCAAAGCCCCAGTAGATAGTTGTATGTCATAGCTGCACATCCTTCTAGTTGCTGTATTTTGTGTTTTTTTTGTTTTGTTAGCTCTTTTTAAAATCTAATGTCAATATGTTTTTAAACTAGTGAGTTTAATCCATTTATCCTGATTATCATGACTACTGATATATTTGGGTTTTCCACCACCTTATTTTTTTGCTCATTAGACCTCTTTTCCATGCCTTTTTCCCTCACTTCCTGCTCTCTACTGGATTGACTGGGTTTTCTTTTTTTTTTTCACCCCAAAGCCCCAGTAGATAGTTGTATGTCATAGCCGCGCATCCTTCTAGTTGCTGTATGTGGGACGCGGCCTCAGCATGGCTGGAGAAGTGGTGCCTTGGTGCACGCCCGGGGTTCCGAACCCAGGCCGCCAACAGCGGAGCGCGCGCACTCAACCGCTAAGCCACGGGGCCAGCCCTGACTGGGTTTTCTTTATTCCCTCTTTCTCCTGATTTAGTTTCTAAGTTATACATTCTATTTCCATTTTTAAAAATTGTTACCTTTAATAATTTATTATGCATACTTAACTTACAAAGTCTAAAATTATGGTGCTTTATGGTTTTTGAATTTTATATTTTGACTAGGGAGGCTATTATCAGTTCAAGAATAAAAAGTCTTTATTTTCTTGTAGTACATTTATAATTTTATTTGTACATTTTGATTGTTAATTCATCTATAATTCTTTCTGTATAGGGTCCCAGGGAGGGAATCTACGTTTATTTTCCAAACAGATAGCTAATGGTCTCAACAACTCTTACTGTCCATCTTTTCCCCATTGATTTAAAATATGACCTTTAGCACAGAGTACATTTCCATTTACAGATGGGTCTATATCTGTACATTCTACTTTATTCCGATCTGTCTTTCCTTTGCATTTACCAAATTATCTTAATTACTCTTGATAGTCTAAAATCTGGTAAAGCAAGTCCTTCCAGCTCCACCTGCTACCCATTGCTCTTTTTATTTTTTAATTTTTTTTAAATAATTTTATTTACTTTTTCCCCCAAAGCCCCAGTAGATAGTTGTATGTCATAGCTGCACATCCTTCTAGTTGCTGCATGTGGGACGTGGCCTCAGCATGGCCAGAGAAGCGGTGCGTCGGTGCGCGCCCGGGATCTGAACCCAGGCCGCCAGCAGCGGAGCGCGCGCACTTAACCTCTAAGCCACGGGGCCGGCCCTCCATTGCTCTTTAAAAGGAAAAAAAATTTTCTCATTTGTCTATTCTTGTCTATAGTCTCTCTTCATATAGTCAAGTCCCAACCCTCCCAAGAATTCCCATTGAGGTTTTGAGATTACTTTGAATTTAGAGATTAATAAGAGAGATTGACATCATTATAAGATTGAATTTTCCCATCCAAGATTATATTATCTCTTCATTTATTCAAAATGTTTTAAATTGTCTTTCAGGAAATATTTACAATTTTTTTCATATAAGTCATACACTTCATGAGTTTATACTTTTGTTATTCTTATGAGATTTTTTTTCCATTACATTTTTCATTAGTTATTGCTTGCATACAGGAAGATATTTTGTTTATCTTATACTGAGCCATTTTATTGCACTCTTTTATTAATTCTAATTAGTGTTTCATTGGTTGTCTTAGATTATCTAAGTAGTCATTCATATTGCCTGCATATGACTTTTGTCTCTTCCTTTCCAGTTATTTAGCTCTTTATTTTCTGCTACATCAGCTAAGACCTCTAGAACACTGTTGAACAGCAGCAATTGCAGCAGGCATTCTTGTCGTCTTCATGAAAAGGCTTCCAATGTTTCATAATAAAGTATGATGTTTATTAAGTTTTTTAATAGATGGCCCTCATCAAATTAAGGCAATTTCTTTTTCCGAGTTTACAATAGCTTTCATCAGGAACGGGAGTTGAACTTTATCAAAAATTTTTTAAGCATCTTACAAGATTATCTTTTTATTCTTTCAGTTAGTGAACATATTCCCTAATGTCAACCACACTTACATTACTGAAATTAACACTACTTGGTCAATTCAATTTATTCAATTCAACAAAAATTTATGTACCTAATATATGTCAAGCACTTTTCTGAGCACTTGGCGTGTATTAAGGAACCATAAATGATTTCTCATGGAGCCTACTGTCTAGCAGATGTCTATGATCTATTTTTCTTTTAACTCATTGCTGAATTTAAATTGCTAATATTTTATTTAGTATTTTTATGTTTACAGTTAAAAGTGAGATGATGGACGTAAGTTTTTCTTTTTTGTGCTATATTCTGTTTTCCTTGTCAAGATTAGGCTAACCTTGTAGAAATATATTGCAAGTGTTTTGTTATTTTCCATGCTATAGGAATATAAGTAACAAATGAATTTCTCTCTTCCTTAAAGGTTTTCTATAACTTGCTGATAAAATCTAGACCTGGGGTCTTTCCTTTTCCTTTAAAAAATGTTTTTAATTGTAAAAAATGCATAACAAAATTTATGATCTTAACCATCTTTAAGTGTATAGTTCAGGAGAGTTAAGTATATTCACACTGTCGTGCTCTTTTCCTTTTTAAATACATTTCTTTTACTACCTTTTCGATTGCTTCTACAGTTATTGGACTATTAGATTCTCTACCTCTTTTTGAGTGAATTTTGGCTTGTATTTCCCTAGAAATTCCTGTTTCACTTAGATTTTAAATTTATTGCTATAAAGTGAGTACACAATACATTTTTATGCTTTGTAAATCTTCACTATTTCTGTGATTATGTCCCCTTTTCATCCCCAACGTTGCTTTTTGTATTTGCTCTCCTTCTCCATCTTTCTCTTTTTATCAAACTTGCCCAAGATATGTCTATTTTACTGATCTTTCAAGGAATCAGTTTTTGGATATACTAATCAAGTATACTTTTTATTGTTTGTTTCAATTTCACTATCTCTTTTAATTCCATCCTTTTACTTTTTTTAGAGCTGCTGTTGATGTTCTTTGTCTAACTTATTGAGTTTAATATTTGGTTTACTGATTTTCAATCTTCCATGTTTTCTAAGTGCATTTCTAAAGCCGTACATTTTCTGTTTAATACACTTTCTGTATGCTATAGTTTTGCTATGTAATGTTCTCAGTATTCTTTAATTTCAATTTT